ATCCAATGGAAATTTCTCCATCCCTCCCCTGTAAAGATCAGCTAAACCACCCTGCCTTTCTCTGCAGCCTGTTTTGTTTTAAACCAGCTCAAAAATGAGTGAGGAGAGAAGACATTGCTGGAATATGCATTTCCACTGGGATTAAATGTATTTGTATGTGGCTTTCCAAAATTAAACTTGGACAGCAGCAAAGAGGGACTTGGGTGTGAAAATGCAATTAGCCATGACTCAGGACTCTTGATAAACAGGGGGACCAATGAGTTCTTGCATGGGAGCTTGACAAAGTGGCAAGAACAACTTACTGTGTGTTAATATGAGCAGAGTAAATAACCAAAAATGTTATTAATGTTTGGTGTTCAGTTCCAAGCAGCTCCTTTGGGTGATGTAGACACAAGTGCACCTGGCAGGTGATGGTAAATGATATTTTTCTTGTGGAATAGTCATTGTCTTTCTGATAGTAACATTCATTCCCTTTTCTTGAGAGTTATGAGGTCCTGAAAGAAAGATATTATAAGAATAGATGTATTAGTTTTACATAATGGTCTCTCACAGACTTCCTGTGGTGGCAATAAGCATCACCCATCAGCTGGGCCATGAAGCAGCTTTTCCATCTTAAAGATTAATTCATTGGGATCCTAAAAGGCTTGGCAAAGGCTGCCAATGAAAAAGCAAGGCTTCCTAATCACCCTTCTCAGTGGTTGTAGCAGCCTCATCCTCCACCTTCTAAAATGTGTTGGATAACATTTTCTCCCTTGATACAAGAATCACTTAGGGAAGGTCCTGGAGGGAAAAGAGAATGGCCCTGTGCCTGTTCATTAATGTGTGGCAGAGACAATGCCTGTCCTTTTTTCATGGCTGTCAGGCACTGCAGGGTAATTTTGACACCCAAGGATGCCAACACAAGTGGGCATTGTAGGTAAATGAGGAGGAAAAGGGGTGGGGAGGACAGCATTCTGTTGGTTTATTGCATTACTTCAAAAATGATTTAACTTTTAATTAAAGGAGTTTGGGAGATTGCTAGGTCTTTATGCTTCCCCCCCTTCTGTCATCCAGGTTTTATGCTGCCACTTTTAAAATACAATTTATAAATGCAGTTGGAACTCAACTTGGTCCTTCTAATTTTCTCAAGCGCTGTTTCTCTCATATCTGAATCTTCGTAGGATGGAGATACAGCCACGACTGATTTCTGTGCTAGTGACTGCATCTTCTGATTCAGAGCTCCTGTACTCTGAAGCCAGTAATGATTCACTCTCACAGCAGTGGTGTGAGCAGTCTCAGCTTTTATATGCCATCTGTGAGAGGGAGCTGAATCTGCAGAAACGGGACCCTGTGCACATGGCTTTTCCTCTGCTCATGGATGAAAATATTAAAGCAAATCCGTCTGGTCCATGAGATGTTTTCTGTGTCAGGAAGGGAGTGCAGCTGCCTGTCAAACCAAGCTGTTCTCCCTGATGAAAGGGGGCTGTTTTTAAACACTCCTTTCCATAGTATTTTGCACGCCAGCCATGTGTGCTCTCTCATCTGACATCTCATTGAGATCCTTGGCTCTGGTACTGCAGGAGGGAAGTGTGTTCTGGGAAGGAAGGAAATTATCTCTCAATATGTACACAAACACATGTGTGCACACACACACACTTTTAAATCAATCTAAAAGAATGGAATTTTTTTGTTTTATTTTTTTAGGAATGAGGAAAAAAATTAATCTGGTTGAGCCAGACTTAAATGCTTCCCTTTTGTTTGGATTTTCTATTTTCTCATGAAGATATTAGAAAGAAATGCTCTGAGCTATTATTAGATACAAAGGTAGAGATAGAGGGCAAAGGGTTCATTTACAATTCCTACAGCAGACCATTGAAGCTAAGAGGCAATTGATGAGCAGCTTGAAAATATAGATTCATCAACTAAGCTTAGGGAGTATTTCCAAAGGTTTGTGCTGGTCTGGGGATCTAACCCTTTGTACAGCAGTAAAACCCACTGGGTGCAGAAAGCAGAAAACAAGTGGGTTGTTGGTTTTGGGTTTTTTTAGTTAATGAAAGGAGTCACCTTGCAGGGAGAAGCTTGGAAACATGAACTGATGTAAAGTAATGAATTGATATAAATGCACTGCTTTTGAAGGAAGCAACTGGACTTCAGCTCTCTGCCAGGACATGGGGAAGCATCAAGGTTATCCACAAACACACATTCTTTGTGTTTTGGTGTCGGAGCCCAGGACATTCCTCTGGCTGCTCTGGATGATTTGAGACCCTGGCAAGAGGCTCAAAGATTCACAAGCCACAAGAGTTTGAGTAGAATGATAGTTAAAATTAACTATCACAGGGTGAAAAAGCAGAATTTTGGGGATTTAGAATGGGGGTTCAAGAAGTAAAATGGAGGAATCTGGACATGTCCTGTCCTTCTTCTTGTCCTTCATCTTCTGCTGTGATGGTGACACTTTTTGATTGGTTTAGAATGGAGACAGACTGTCTAACATAGGTGATAGGTATTGGAAAATTGTTGTAAATAAAGTACACATAGTTCTTAGTATAAAAAATATAACACCACCCGAAGGGCAAGTGCTGTGCCACAACCTGACCTGCAGGACAGATCCCAGCAGGTCAGAGAAAGAATGTAATAGATAAGAAAAAATAAACAACCTTGAAAAGCAGAACTGAGGAATCTCGATGACTTCTTTGGTCGTGGGGCTGGGAAAAAGAGACTTTCTGACACCTCAGGGTCATCCCAACCACAGAAACCTGAGATTTTGGGAAACCCAAGTCAGTTAATCCCTGATAATGGGATACCATTATAACCACTACTTCACCACCATGATCTTAGGGCAAAATGGCGAGAAGCAGATTGATCATGTTGGGCAGGACAGCCATGGCATTAGAGTGTGCTGCTGCAGGAGAAATCCAATGCCATAAAGGTTTTCTATCCCTTCCCTAAATGCAGTGGTGATTATCACTTCCTTTCAGAGAATCACAGAGATGGGCAGGGACCTCTGGAAATCACTGTGGTCCCATCCCTGTTCAAGCAGGGCCACCTAAAGCCACTTGCCATGGACCATGTGCAGATGGGTTTTGAGAATCTCCAGGGATGGAGACTCCACAGCCTCCCTGGGCAATCTGTGCCAGTGCTGGGCCACCTTCACAGGAAAGAAATTATTTCCTGGTGGTCAGAGGGAAGCTCCTGTGTTTCAGTGTGTGCACACTGATCCTGCCACTGGGCAGCACTGAGTGAAAGAGCCTGGCTCTGTCCTCTCACCTCCCTCCAGGTGTTCATCTGCACTGCTGAGATTCCCTGGAGCCTTCCCCAGCCTGAGCAGTGCCCATGCTCACATCCTGTCCTCATGGGAGGGATGCTCCAGTCCCTTAATCCTCCTCATCACCCTGCATTGGAATCTCTCCAGTGTGTCCCTGTCTCTCTTGTAATGAGGAGACAGACCTGGACACAGCACTCCAGGACTCCTCAACAGTGTTCTTATTGTCAAAAAAAAAAAAAAAAGAGAGAAAGGAAATTTTGGAACAGGGGCTGTTCCAACTGGGACACCAACACTGGTTTTCGATAGCTTCAGCTTGAACACTGAAGGGTTTTTTTTGTGCTCTTTCTGCCAAACCTCTTGTATCTGATACTGCTGCATTTGGGCAGCTCTGGTCGAGGAGAGGTTTTCATCTGGCTATCTTAGCTTTGCTGGCCTGACCTCTGGAATAAATGTTTCTTTCTGAACTTTTTTCTTTTTTGGCAGTAATTTTAGTTTGTTTTTTATCCAGTGCCTGTGTTGAGGCTTGTTCAGTTTGCAAGGCTAAAGGGCATCACAAGAGCATGCATCATTTTGCACTTTTTGTCCAAGGCAACAAAACAAAACTAAGTTAAAAAAATCATTTTGGCGTATTTTTTTTTTTCTGTGAAAACTCCTGAAGCATAAAAATAGTGTCTTTCCTTGAAGAGGGGATATTACTAATGTAAATCCAATGCAGAGGAATAGTATGATGTATGTCAAAAGGCAAGCATCCAAGGAGGAGCAGGAGTGATGGAAATGCCTCATGGGCATATGAGATTGTGGGGATAGGTATTCACACAAAGGATGCTTTCTTACATGTGCCCAGGGCTTTCTCTTATCTCTGAACATGAACCCATAGTGAAATAGAAATGTTCCTGTATTAATAGTGCATTGGAGATAACCCTCATCTGAAAAATACAGTAATACTGCACAACTGGGAACCCTTTCAGAGCAGGGAATTGGACTGGCAATTTCATAGTGTGTTGGTAATGAAACATTTTGGTTCTGTATAAGCAAATGGGCAAGGTTAATGGACACATTACTCTGGCTGTCATTGTCCCAGCAGTAACCAATTTAGAGGCTTTATATTTTCTGCTGTCCCAGTAAGGGAAAGAAAAGTAGAAAATTAAAAATAGAAATCCCAGAGTGATTTAAAGTGCAAAGAGTGAACAAGCTTGTAGTACTTCAGTATAATTTTAAAATCCCTCTTTTCCTTATAATCAGTATTTTAATTTATGTATTACATTGCAAATTCTGCCAATGTCTGTCCTGCTCCAAAAGCTCACCTCCACACAGAAGGATTTATTCTGGCTGTAACACATGAACATGAGCCTCCAGCCCTGGATCTCTCTAGCTGTTGTTTGTATTGATGGTTCCTGTTTGTATTTCCCTTCACCTTGTGCTGTTGATTTGCAGAACCATGAGAAATGGTCTGTGGCTTTGGCCTTCAAGGGAGGAGGTTAAAAAAATATCTTCTGGTGCCTGTGTATATATCATAATTGGGGGTTTTTCATAGCTCTTTCAACATCTTTGGACAGATATCAGCCCCTCATGAGCTGGTTTTTCTCAAGCAGGTGCCCTGTACAACAGCACAGCGCTGGGTTTTCTCCCCCAGAATTAACTGTCCCACACTCCTGGTTTCACTGAGGTTACTTTTTTCATGTTGAGCCTCCTGCCAACATTAATACAGTTTCTGAAGCAGGTGTCCAGCCTAATGAGGACTCGTTTCCTTGCCTTGCAGACATCCTGGTTGATGGCAAGGTCTGTGACTGCGACGCCGTGGTGACCTGCCAGGTGGGGGACCCTGTCCCCCTGCAGGTGAAGTTGACCAACTGGAGCAAGCACAGCGTGGGGCCCTTTGCTCTGACCATGATGCCCTACCAGGATTACCAGAATGGGGTGCACAACTATGAGCTGCAGGATGCCATCACCTTCGTGGGCTCCAACACCTTCCACATCGACGCCGTGAGTTCTTTGGTCACAAGTATCAGCATTTTCAGTGATGTGCATTTGAAAGGGGCTTCATTGCTCTACTGTGCATTTTAAAGCAGATTAATATTTGGAAATAGCCACGATTATGGCAGCTATTGCTAACAGTGCTGCTGCATGCATCTGGAATAGTCTCTGAAATGGTTTAAGACTGCAATTTCTTACCATGTAAACCACTAGGAAATTATCAGAGGCAGCAATTTCTGGTCACTCCAGATCTGGCTGAATGTGAATGGGTAACCCTAGATTGAATGTTCAATACCATATTGCCAGTCCCCTGAGTCTCCCAGCACAGCCTGCAGTAATAGATTTTAAATAACTTTTTTTTTTCTTCAGTCCATAAGAAACATTCCCCAGGCTGAGCCAAGGAACTCAGCAAATCAGTTCTAGTCAGGTCCTGAGGAAACACAACAGACTGCAAAAAGAAAATGCTAAGCATTAATGGCCAATCTGATGAGCTGGTTCATTTCCTGGATGCTTAGCATACTGTTATAAAACCATAAAGAAATGCATAAAATGAGGCAAAAAAAAAGAAAAAAAGAGCCCCTTTTTAAAACAATTGAGATTATGATTTTTCTCTCAATTTCTCTAGAAAATTCAAGTCTAGGAGCTTTTTGCTTCTAAGGCGAGAAAAATACAGATAACACTACTCTCTCCCACATCCTTCCCCCCCAAAAATACAACAACAAAATACCTGGAATGAAAATTTGCAGGCAATGCTGCAGAATGGAATGAGCAGCATTTCTGATAACTCATGAAAGAAACATGAAGAATGGCGTGTTTGGGATTGTGCTTAGGACCTTTGTTTAGGTCAGCTCTTCAGATTGGTAATAAAATGTACCTGTCAAAATTAAATATATAAGTGAACTTTAGTTAGAAAGAAATGAAAGGTTAATCACAGAGATAGTCACCATGCATATTTTTCAATTACGCATCACAGAAGAAAATATTTCTAAAAGCTAATGAGCATGAAATATACCACAGCTCGATTTTTAATGGGGGCTAACTGCATTCTTGTAGCTGAATAATTTAAATATGCCAACAGAAATCATCCAGGGATGGCTTTCTTTGACTCTGGTTCTGAAAATGTGGAGTTTTTAATCAGAGTGGTGGTGTTTGGATGCCCAGCTGCCAAAGGGCCTGACCCTCCAGGCTAATGAGGGAAAAGGGAGATGTCAGTGTGATGTATTCTTACCTTCTGATTGAGTCTCCTACGGGGCAAAAAGTCAGGAGGTCACGTCTCTGGTGCCTGCCCAGGCAGCCTTCTCATACGTTCTGGTCCCTGCCTTTGCCCCATTGCTCAGGAGTTTGACATTTCTCCTGTAAACACAATCCCCAAGAAGTTAAAAATAGAATTGTTTTCTGCTGCTTGTCCTCCTTTCCATACAAAAAGGTGAAATGAACAAAATGTCGACTCTTAGACAAGAAGTGTTACATTTCACTGTGTGTGGTGTTGACGCCACACAGGCTCCAAGGGAAAGTGCTTGGTCACCTTCTTTGGGGTGTAGAGCCTTGATTGTGGAAGAAAATCCTTTATGTCTGCCAGAGGCCATTTCTCCCCTCATAATGACTAATTTAGAATAAATTTCAGAAAGTTCCACCTGTTTGGGGGGGATGAGAAGTCCTGCTTTGTGCATTTGATGCTTTGGGGAAGAACCAACATGCTCAGAATTGTGCTTTTGCTCTGAATTTGGCCAAAAGCCAGACAGGAGCTGGTTAAAAAAACCAAAGAAGCTCATAGCTGGGTGAGATGAAAGACAAAGAGAGTTTCTCTTTTTTATAAACAAAAGTTGAGATAGTGGACCAGATTCCCTGCTGGTTTTCAACTCAGTGCTGCTGTATGGAAGCTGTTAAAAATGTCCCCATCATTTTTTTAACCTGAGGTCATGGGCACTTGGCTATTTTTCTTGTTTAGTGGAAGTGGCTTGAGGTGCTGCCCTTTCCCAGCTGCTTGTGAAAGATGCTCCCCTCTCCCCCTGCAGGCCCATCAGGACAGATGCTGTGAGAACTTGTTTTTGTGCAAAGTTGTCCAGTTTAGCAAAAACCACATTGGTCAGCAGTTTAGGTTAATTGGGCTGACTTCACACTGACACTGGCCCAGGGATGCTGACATGATTTATTGCAGGGCTGAGCTGGGTGGGAGGAAGGATGGAGAATCAAGTCTGGTTTGGTGTATCACTGGTGCGTGGTCAAGAAGGAGTGGGAGCATCAGGTATTGCAGCAAGGGCAGATACTCCTCACACCCTGAAAATTCACTCTGCTGTCATGCAGAAACTTCATTATTGGTACAAAAAAAAACCCCAACAGATCCCTCTGCCTTCCTAAATGTTAAGTCTCATGCTCAAAATTCACTGTTATTTTTGATTCCAGACTAAAAAGTCTCAAAGCAGTTTCTGCTGCTACCTGGAAGACAAGGGACATATATGGGAATTTTCAGGATGCACGTGCTGCTTTGCAGTGTGAATATAAATTGTTGAAAGGGTAAAAGTCGCACAATTTTGTATTTCCCTTTTTTGTGGCTTGAAGTCAAAGTTAGAAGATTTATCTTGGAAGTAATGTAGTGATGCTTATTCACCTCTTTGTGCTTTTACCTCAGTTCGATGCAGCAGCCTGGGTTTGTGTCACAAAGTCTCTGCTGGATATGATACTTCAAAAAGCAAAGTCTTTTCTGGAAAATTTTTGAAGGATATTGAGTTATTTCCATGCATTTTAAATTAAGTAAAGTCTGCATTTTTAAGGAAAACTTCTAATTTGGCTAACCTTATTTTTCTCTGTATTTGACAGAAAAAGTGACTTTCTCCATTATGACTTAAATATTTAACTTTTTTTATTCAGTGGGTGATTTTGAAACACGAGTTAACATGGTGGAACTTACCCATTAAAATACAGTGGATTTATTTTTTTATGTTGCTTCACAACATAAAGTTTATCTTTTGCTCTGTTATTAAATTTTCTTAGTTCTTACCTCTGATTTTTGTTGAATAATTAGTTGATCAGACAGAGTTGTTTTTTTGCCAAATTGAAACCAAAAATATTGCCTTCTGTGGAGAACCCTGTAACTCTCAACAATTCATCCTCTCTTGTTGTCCCTGCTTGTGCCATCACTTATCTTCAAGCAGGATTTTTTCCTGTGTGTGTTATCACACACAAGCTCAAGCGATTGGTAGTGGGAGATGAGGAGAAATTCATTAGTAGATGGTCATTTTGAATCAGCTCAGAAGCCATGGTGAACATTTGCTCACTTCTGGCAGGTCCTCTGTGGCCCATCTGGAACAAATTATTTTTCTTGGCACTGTTTTATTCACACTGTAAATTCTTTGGGGCAGCAAGCAGTAGCTGGCACCAGCCCTAATCTCCAACTGAGCTCCCTAAGTACTACAGCAGTATAAATAAGTAGTAATTAGTTCTAAGCAATCACAGTCCCACATGGTAGCCTAAATCAGGGAAGGATTAGGATGCAGCTAGAAACTTAATTTTTCTTCTATCTTGGTGGAACAAAGGACTAATGTGGACTTTTTTCCCTTGATTTTCTTTCGATCGTTATTTTCTGAGGTACAAGCTGCTCATCTTTGTTTCCATGAATGGTGGAATTTCAATAAAACCTATTTTAACTCTGCCCTGGCTCAGGAATGTCAGCATCCTGATGAATGATTCAGCAGACACACAGGCACAGGTCTGGGCATGGCACACCAGAGCTGTGTGCTGCTGGGCCGGAGGACAACACGAATTCGGTCTGGCTCAGGCAGGAGCTGTGCTCCTCGTGGCTGAGCTGGGTCAGGCACTGCAGGCTGTGGGTGCTGTGTCCTGCCAGCCATGGAGGTGACCACCTGAACAGGCCACTCTGAGTGGCTGAGCAAGTAATCAGACTAATGCAGTGTAGGGAACATTTCCCCTCCTGCTGCATTTGATCAGGTGAACCCTTGTGTTGAACAGCTGGCTTAGATGTGGCTATCCACTTTTCAGACACTTGAGTGGATTCAGATCCAGACTGAGACACCTGACTGAGGAGGTTACCAGGGGTGCTGCCCCACTAAGCTCCCAGGAGGCCATGGAGATGTGGTCTTGCAGCAGCTAGAACCTGGCTCATTAACACAGGGCTGAGATTCAGTTGCCTAAGAGTAGATGTTTGCCATCATACATGTGCTGTGGGTTTCCTACCAGCCACCAGATGCTGCCAGAAATCCTGTAAGACATCCTGGGCACCTTCCCAGTCCTCAGTGCCTTAGGCCATCCCCTTACCTGTGTTTAGGCAACTCAGCTCTGGCTCTGCAGGCTGCCTAGAGATACCATTCTGTGTCTGCTCCACTGTCTCACTGACTAGGTATCCTCCTTATGTAGTAGGACCTTGGATACCTTTTACTCCTAAATGTAGGTTTAACCTCAAATTTAGTCCTGTGCCTGGTGTAGCAGCTGGGCTGGATGTGACCCTCTGCTGACCTGACTGCTGCAGCTGGATGTCTGATCTTTTGGGAATCTTTGTAGGCAGCCCCACTGGAGACTCAGCCTTACATTCCAATTTTGGTTCCTGTTTTGAAGGAAACATCTCGTAGCTTCTGCAGAGCCACCTGCACCTGAGCAAGGCAAAGGTTTCAAGCTCATTTTGCTTCCCTGTTTCTTCTCCAAAGTGTGGATACAGCGGTGGTGTCACAACAGACGTGGGTAGAGCCCAAACCATGAATGTGATGTCTGGTGTTGATGCTGATGAGCCTGGAGCCACCTTCCTGCTTGCCAAGGGCTCTGAGCTGTGCTGCCACAGACATTCCTTATGGTGCAGCCAGATTAGGAGGAATGGACCAGGAGCTTGGAACAGCTCAGGGTGTGAGGAGGCTTCGTTTGCTGTTTGCCTGCACCCACTGCTGGCATTAGTGCCTGCCTCTGCCCTCCTCTGCAGGAAAGACCACACCAGCTCCAGTGAGGCAGAAATCAGGCAGGCAGCCCTGGGAGAAGGGCAGGGGAGCACGAGGGGACATGTTTGGATGTTGTTCTGCGTGTCCAGACGCGGTGCCAGAGGGCAGGAGCTGTTACCCAGCCAGGAGGGGAGATGCCAAGGACAGGGTCAGGGCAACAGCTGTGGCTGCTCTGATCCCTCATGTGGATGACATGATGATGATACAAGTTTGCTGTAGGTCAGCAGAAGTGCCCAGCACCAAAACCAAAGGGAGCCTGGGCTCTCCAGCTCTGAGGATGTGAACAGAGAGCCCCTTGTGCAGGAGCTGAATTTTAGAGTCATAGAAGCACAGAATGGTTTGGGTTGGAAGGGAACTTAAAGCTCATCTCATTCCAGCAGGGACATCTTCCCCTATCCCAGATTGCTCCAAGCCCCACCCAGCCTGGCCTTGAACACTTCCAGGGATGGGGCATCCATAGATTCCTTGGGCAGCCTGTGCCAGGGCCTCACCACCCTCACAGTAATATCTACATCTACATCTATATCTATATCTATATCTATATCTATATCATCTATATCTATATCTATATCTATATCTATATCTATATCTGTCTGTCTATCTATCTATCTATCTATCTATATCCTAAATTTCCCCTCTTTAAATTTGATCCCCTTACTCTTTGTCCTATCACTACAGATCCTGATGGAGAGCCTTTTCCAGCTTCTCTGTAGCTCCCTCAAATACTGGAAGGTGCTGTGAGGTCTCCACTCAACCTTCTCTTCTCCAGGCTGAACAACCCCAACTTTCTCAGCCTGACTTCATAGAAAAGCTGCTCCAGTACCTTGTGGCCCCTCTCTGGACTTCTTCCAGTTTAGGGAGGTCCAACAAAGCAGACTGATAGCCCAGGGGACTATATGGGATGATGTCTCCTGGCTAAAGAACCCAGAAGTGAAAGTCCAAAAAAAAGCTAGGACAGGAGAAAATGGAAACAGCTCATTCCCTTCACTTCTGAAAGCTACAGAGAATCTGCCTCATGGAAGGTGGCTGGGAGCTCTCTGGAATATTCTTGAGTTTCCTGCACCCTTGAAATCTTCTGTTGATCATTTGCCTTCCCCCTCTTTCCCTCCATGACCTTCCCATCATCCCTGCTCTGGTCTTCCCAAGCAGTGGCAAATTGTCCTTCATCAAAGGGTGTCCATGAGCACTTGCCCCGTTCACAACCCATTGTTCATGTCCCAGTTTACCATATAATGACATTTTTTGTAGTGGGGAACAGTCCTGATCACCTCTCTCACAGCATCAGCCTTTTTTGGGACTCTTCTGCTGGGATGAAGCTGCCTTTTCACAATTTTTGGAAAAATCCCATCCAGTGGAATGGCTCTGTGTTGATTTGGTGTTTTGCATTTGCTGTAGCTCAGTTCTAGGCGTCCTGAAACTGGATTTAACATCTTGTGGAAGCAGATACTAATTCAAACATTATCACATGCTGAACAGTGGTGGGAGTGTTAAAGTTAGAAATTACTGAAGTGTCTTGCTGAAATGATGGACTGAGATATATTATTTGTTGTGAAGATATGGATTGTAGATGGATTTGTAATGAAGGAAGATACATAAATGTAGAAACAGTGTGAACTCTGTATATTTAATTTGGACAAGTAAAATCAGGGTGGCTACTGTTTCTGGGAAGTTTCTTTCTAAACTTCATTATTTCAATGATAGTCACCCAAGTTCCTGATTAGAATTTGCAGTCAGATTGTGTCTCAGTAATAAGGGAGAATGAACTTACTTACTGCTAAGCTGTTAAATGGTGTTTAAACCATGTATTTAACATTAATTCAGAGATGTGATTTAGAACTTTAATAGAGATGTTGGTAAATGCAGTCTAAGGAGACATTTAGGGTGATCTCTACCTTAAACAAATTCTGTTTTGTAATCAGGTACTCCTAAAGGTTCATATTCTGTTTTGAGCTGAGGCACAGATTTACTGCATGAGTGAATAACAGGATTAATTTTTTAAAGTAACATTTTTACTAGAATAGGGACGAGATGTTTACTCCTTTTTGTATGAAAGCATTATTGAGATGTGAATCTGGAGTACTCTGAGACCCTTTGAAGGAGATAATGGATTGCAAACTGCAATTAATTTGCTTTGTTAATGGTTTATTTGTACTGATTTTTGTATTCTCTTTGCCAGGTAAAGCCAGCCAAAGACTCTGTGTACTTTGGAGCACTTCTCTTCCTCTACACGGGCGATTTCTACCTGAATATCAAATTCCATGAAGACAACAGCAGCAGGGAGCTGCCTCTGTCCTGGCTCTGCCTTCCCAGTGTCCACATCCGTGCCACAGAGCCCGTGGCCCCAGCTAAGCTGTGAATATGCACCGGGTGCTATTGATCACCCACAGCACACAGCAGAGCTTGGCACATCCTCTGCTTGACCCCAGCTTGTTTCTGTCCAACCCCAGGACACGGTCTCTGCTCTGGAGGAACAGCTGAACACTTTCTGAATTGGCTGACAGTCATTTGGACAGCTGCTTCAGCTAATTTCAGAGGGAGAGAGAGAGAGAGATTATAACTATGCTGAAGTTTTCCTCTGTTTTCAGAAAGCCTTTGAAACTATTTGCATTGTACTTCAATATACTCCATTGATATCAGTGGTTTGAAAGAGTCTTGAGGGCTGAATTTTGCCATGTGTTTGAAGGTCTTAAATCCTGTTTGAATAATCCTGTTTGATCATTTTTTTCAGTAAGATTTGTGTGTCTGTATGAAATTCCTCTTGGTTTATGCTGGACCCATGGCATGTTCCCTTGGGATATAGATCTCTGTTAGATTTGTTCACTGGCTTGCTCTTGTTCATTTGTTTGCTGAGAATTTGGTGTCTTTGGTAGTAAATAGCAGTAGTGGTGCTTTTCAGTGTGCTACTGAAAGTAAGAATAGCCTCCAGTTATTCTCTCCCTCCCCTGAGCCCAGTGCCACTTGCTCCTGGTAAAGTCACTGCCTTTAGTTTGGCAGATCTATGAACTAGAAAGGAGAGAGGGTGAGGAAGAGCAAAGGAGTTTTGTCCTTGAGAGAATAAATAAGCCAACTTTTGGGCTGCCTAAGGCTTGGCTGTGAATTTAGGCTTTCACAGTTCTGTTCTACACAGTCATAGTCACTTGAAACATTTGCAGACTCTAAAAGATCCACCAGAATTAATCAGATGATCATTAATATAACTTTTCATGAGTTTTTGCAAACTCTACTCACCAGATTTTTCATACTGATATACTGCTTTTTAAATGTGTCTAGTTTTTTTCCTTTTTTTTTTTTTTTTTTTTTGTTTTCTTAAAGTTTGGGGGTTTTTTAAGTTTAATTATTAGGCAGTTAAGGCCATGGAATTACTGAGTGTGAGAGTAGTTGTTGAATGTACTGATAATTTAGCCTATTTTTCAGAATAATGTTTTTGTATAGTGAGACATGTTTTTACCCCATGTAAAGCAGGGAGATGTTTTATCTGTATGATTAATACATTATTTCGTGGACCATATGTTTAAAAACTATCTCAGTCTTTTCTTAAATGCATAGTTAAATTTGGTGGTAGTATGCCTTGGGGGTGGATACACCAAGATGTGGCAGGGACACTCCAGTTAACTCTACATTATTTAAATCTACCTGCACAACCTCTCTGCAGATTCTTTGTTTCTTTAGAATTCATGCAAACATGGGCCCCCTCTGAATGCCTGGCCTGACCCTTCCTGCTCAGTTCTGGCTCTCTGCACCAAGCCCAGGGGTGCTTTTAGGTGTGATTGGTGTTTCCCATAGTGCTCCAAACCCCATTCATTGCAAGTGACTGTTCACCCTAAAAATATTCCCAACCTAGGGAACTGTGGCTGTAGCATGGTAGCTGCATTTCCAGTATATGCAGGGCATTATCTCTAAAACCCTGTGTTGTGGCAATGTTATCAATGTTTGTGCTTGAGCTGGGGCTCTGGACTCAGCCTTGAAAGTGGAAGCTTTCAGTCCTGACCTGATGAAAATCTGAGCCCTGCTGAGGATTTATTTGCAATGATTCACTGCTCTGTCAGGTGCCAGTGAGGTCCAGTAACAAAACCCCTGGAAAGAGGGTCCAACAGCAGAGTTGGGCCTGCTTTTCTGAGTTGGTGGAGCTTGGCTGACCAGACTGTGCCATGAGCCTGAATCCTCTGTCATTGGATAGGTAACACCCAGAAAAATAAGATCCAAGGAGAGCAGGAACTAAACCCTCAGTACATCTTCTCTAAAAGCTTGGTTTTGACATGAGTGTCTGGACTATGTTGCACAACACTGTTGGAGTAAAATTCAAATTGGGTTTTATTCAGTGTTCCCAGAAGATCATCTGCAGATTCTAGGAATACAGCTAAGGCTTTATAAGGACCACACTGAAATAAAAATATTGTAAAGTAGATGCTGTTGTAGTCAGGATGCTTTAATTTACTCAGCTAAGGGACTGTTCTCTAATTATATTTCAACAGCATTCTCTGAGAATAGAGAGTCTTGTTCTGTGGAGCCTATCCTGGGATGCAACAATCCTGTTCCTTTTACTTATGAAGGGTCCTTATCTACAGCCCACTGAAGCTGTTGGAATGGGAACAGGTCCTGTTACAACAAAAGCTGGCTGCATATTTTCTAGGAATCCAATATGCCATTATAAATCTGCCATATGTGAACATAAATATAAGTTCTTATGTGTGAGCTGACCCTTAAAGGTGTATCTGTTCATTATATAGCAGATTCTGTCCCTTGTCAACTTGGACACTTAGTTGATTTTGGCATTTATTATATCTTCCCCAATTTTCCAGACTTCTACTTGTCTTGGTGAAAGAGATGAAATACAAGAAGTTCTTCCTTCTGGGGATCATTTTTAACTTTATCCAGAAGGAAGATATTTAAGTGTTAGTGTAATTTGGAGAGGGGTTGAGGGAAAGGTGCTTAAAATCACTGGGGTTGCTGTTAGGGTCAGTCCTTGTACTGCTTGAAAGAAGGATGATATAGTTCTTATTTGCTTTCCTTTCTTGGTACTCAAAACTTCTTTTTCTTTCTCTGAAACACCCAGCAATTATTTTGAACATGATAAGCTGAACTGTTCATTGTAAATCTGATATGAACCAGTGGTTGCAATAAATTATTCCTAATTTAAATGGCCATTGCTGAGAGCAGATGTTGATCCCATATATGAATGCACTGGAGAAGCATAAGTTATGTAACTTTACCTGAATAAATACTTGTGGCTTGTTATTTCACCTCTGCCAGTCTCTTTAGTCTGTAGCTCTTGGGTGGGTTGTGTGATTTTGCTGACAATAATGTGTATCCCTTGATTCTGTGTTGTGTCTCTGAAAGAATGTGTTGGACTCTGGAACTGAAATTTCACCTTCACTCAAGTGTGGTGATGTGAGGTCCCCAGGACGAGGTGAGAGATGAGAATTTGACTCCAAGTTCTCACAAGGCTGATTTATTATTTTGTGATATTATATTAAATTAAAAGAAATTATATACTAAAACTACACTAAAGAAAGAGAAAGGAGACATCAGAAGGCTGGACAAGAATGATAATAAAAACTTGTGACAGACTCAGAGAGTCCGACACAGCTGGACTGGGATTGGTCATTAAATTAAAACAAATCACATGGTGGATAAACGATTCTCCAAATCACATTCCAAAACAGCAAAACAAGGAGAAGCTGAAGCTTCCCAACTTCCCAGAAGAAGAAACCCTGGTGAAGAGATTTTTCAGAAAATATCATGGTGACACTCAAGTTTTCTCTTCCTAGATGAACTCAGGGGTGGTGAACCCTGTCTGCTCTGTGGTGTGGCTCCTGTGTCAGCTGAGGAGAGGGAGAGGCACTCATATGAAAGGCAACAAATGGCCAGAAGTTGTGTCCAGGGAGGTTCAGGTTGGATATTAGGAAAAGGTTCTTCCCCCAGAGAGTGGTTGGTGCTGGAATGGGCTCCCCAGGGAAGGGGTCACAGCCCAGAGCCTGACAGAACTCAAGAAGTGTTTGGAAAATGCTCTCAGGCACAGGGTGGGACTCTTGGGGATGGTCCTGTGAAGGGGTGGGAGTTGGATTTGTTGATTCTTGTGGATCCCTTCCAACTTGGCTTAATCTGTGACTCTGTGAAATGCCTCAGTGTCCCAGTACTGGTGTTGGGGGTGGTGAGGCCCTGGCACAGGTTGCCCAGATGGCTGCCCCATCCCTGGAAACATTCAAGGCTGGCTTGGACAGGGCTCTGAACAACCTGATCCAGCTGAGGATATCCCTGCTCAGTGCTGGAAGACTGGAACTAGACCTGTAAATGTTCCTTGCAACCCAAAGCATTCCATGATTCTTTCACCCTTTCCATCCTTTGAGAAAGAGCTCAAAGGCTGGAAGGACCATCTTGGAAGACTGACTGCAAGCACTAAAAACCATTTGATGCCCAGCCTTGTCTGAGTTCCTTTTCTCAGTCCTGGAGCTCCTGTGTTTGGATTCCCAACCTAGAAGCTCTTAAGGATTCCTCAGTGAGGGCCAGCTGCACCCTCCCTTCCCTGACTCCTCTGGCTCTCTCCTGGGTGTGGGCACTTTGTTTGCCCCTGGAGCTGGGCTGTGCATCCCTCCTGCTTGCCCTGCACAGCCCAGAGCAGTGCTGGCTGCCAGCTCCTGGGGTGGAACCAAGCCCTCTGCAGCTCAGGTGTGGGCACAGGGGGCATTTAAAGGCTTTCCTACAGGTGGCTGCTTTGCAGAGCTTTGCAAACACTCGTGCTCTTTTCTTAAAGAAGACACCAAAAGATCTGAACAAAATTTTTGCGTCAAGTGTTCCATGATAGCTGTTTCCTTCTGGGGTTAGGTCAGGGTTCTTGGGTTGTTCAGCATCTCCTTAGCTCTCAGCTTCTCATCTTGCTCTTTCTCACCTCATCCTTCCCACTGACTCTTCCACTCACTCCACTTTTCTGCTTTTCTTTGTTTGGTCCCAACAGAAAGGATCAACTTGTCCCTTTCTTTTTTTTCCTTCCTCTGCATCTCTGTTAGAGCCTTCCTAGCACTTTGGCCATGGTGGAGAAAAAATGCTTCAAACCCAACTTCAGCTGCTAAACTGGAGTTTGATGCTCTCCTTAAAGCATCTTGAGCTATTTCAGTTGAAAAAGGATCTTGTCTGTTCTGTTACAATCTGATGTTTCTTGTTGGAAGGATACTTTAGGCCTCTGTGTTCACCATGCATCAGCTCCCTAACACCAGTGGGACTTTGTGTGTAGGTGACATCTCATCTAACATACACTGCTCCCTTCCTGTCCCTGTGTTCCTGATTCAGCAGATATCCAAGCATGTGTCTAATGTTAAACACATCAATAAAAACACATTAATAACACATTAATAGGCCGTCTTTTGACAGCTAACTCAGTCACTCCCTGGGAAATTTGCTAACCCTGTGCCCTGATGTGCAATCTTCAGTGTGTGGCTGTACCAA